CTTCCAATACCAACACCTTTGTTTTGAATCTTGAATTACTGTCAAATTTCATCTAAACTTTGAAAATTGAGTCTAGTATCTACAAAAAAAATTCACTTGCATCCAATTAAAAGATTGTTAAAGATCTTAGAAATACTCACTGACCCTCAAACTCCAACTTTTGAAACCTCAACCCACAAAAACCTTCACATACTTCAATCTAATTACTCAATTGGTTTTAAAATTCTACTAGGTTCTTCTATAATAATATCCATATTTTTATTTTTTACCATATAGTTATTTTATCACACAACAATGTGAGATTTTTACCTTAAGTTTATAGATAAGCTTGTAATAATTTACAATAGTTATAAATCTATTTTCACTTTGATTGAGAGTAGTATCCAAAAAATTTCTTTCTATAGATAATTCAAACAAATCTACAAGTCAAATTAGAGGAACGTAATTTACAATCTCTAATATCAAATAAAAATTTATAAACATAGAAATATTTTTCTTTCCTTAAGAAATAAATTAGTATTAAAAAATTAAATTTTAGTTTAAAGGTGGATAATCCATAACATTCAAAATATAACAAGAAAAGTGAGAAAATTCACTCACTTCTAAAAATAAAATAAGAACCATGAATTAGTACTCTTTTCAAACTATTAAGGACATAAATTTTAGAAGATTAAAACATCAAGACATTCTTGTGACACTCAAAAAGATTGAAGAATGACTTAAAGATGGTGTAATATTAAATTAGAATGCCTATTGTCAAAGACAAGAAGATTAGAAAGTCTTGAAACAAGATTTAGGACTAAAAAAATATTGGCAAGAATGAAAAAGACTTCATTCTTACGTCTATATATACTATCTAACTAAAAACTACATAACAACATTCTATAAAACTTTTAATATATGTTCAATTTGTGAGACACATGTTTTAACTAGGAATGCAAGTTTCTTATATGCATATAATATTTTTAGCTTGTATCATAAGCTATGTACATGTATGATGCATGAATAACTTGTTGGCCAAGTTTCTAATCTATCAATTAGCTATAAATATATAAAAAGCTAAATACATATTTATAAAGCTTCTAAAAAGCTTTGCTATAAGATAATATCAAATCTATTTAAATTTATTTAATAATTTTTATTTAGATAAATATGTATATTCATGACATTAATTTAAAAAAAGTAGAAATTAAAGAAGAAGAATAGAAATATTTCAACTTCTTATTAGATAGCCACACACATTAACCTTGATGGATTTTAATATTATTATAATTAGATCAAATGGAAAAAAAGCCTTATAAGGTTGATGGCAATATTATAGTAGGAAAGAATTATAAAATCCTTTGTTAAGATGAAAAGCTAGAACTAGACTTTGTATTATTATTGAAGTTGTTTAATTCTTGTGATTTTTTTTTTTTTTTTTTTTTTTTTTTGTAAATCTAAGATATTAGCCAAAGAATTATTTATACATCATTTTGCTTGTGATTTTATTTTTTATAATAGGAACAATTGTGTATGTGGTTTTAATGGGATGCTTATAATCATGACTTATTTTTTTGGAAGTGGATGTATATTGTTTCTATATGTTTGTCAAATTGTCTTTTCTTTCTTCAACAACAATTGAAATAATATTCAATTTTATTAAGTTTTTTAAATTATTTATTGTATAAAAAAGAAATTCAATTACTATATTTATTTTTATATATAAATAAAATTTTGCATATCCAATGATTGGATAAATCCTTTATAATAAATTATGGTAGTTTGTATCTATTATAACTTGTCTTGTGCACATTGTGCCTTTAGTAATAGAATAAGATATTGGACAAGTAAAAACCACTTCTTAAAGTATTTGTCTCATATCTTTGTTAAAGCATAGTAGATGCTTTTAGTTAAAAAGATGCCAAATTTGACCAAAAAGTAGTTGTGTAAGCAAAAAAATATTCTTTGAAACTATATAAAAGCTTCTATGAAAACTTGAAAAAGAAATATATATCTAATCCAAAAGTGTTTTGTTTATTTTTTGGTACTTGATATGGATTATCTTATCTTGGTTTGTTCTTTGGTTGCAAAAATCTTTACTAAAAATTTCTTGAATATCATCAAATATTAAATAGAAGCTTTACAAATTTGTAGTCAATATTTAATATTAGTGTCATGGTTTTTTACATTCCAACAACATATGCATCCATCATTCAACCTTCAATCTTCAATTAAAGTAAAAAAAAATTATTTTAATTTTTCCAAGCATAAATTTTATTTTTGAAGTTAATAGCAAAATTAGAGTAGATGGATGTTCTTTGTTCTTTTAAAGACTTTTTGTTATAACACTTATATATATATATATATATATATATATATATATATATATATATATATATATATATATGTATGTATTATTTTGTTAAATAGAAAAAAAATCACATTTTAAAAAAATCATTTCATGAAATCTATTCAATCTTTAAATTTATTTAGATTTTCAAATAATTTGTACAATAAATCTAAAGTATTAAACGTCTTGCAATATTTGCACATTGCTTTGATTCCATGCATCTATGCTGAGATAAAGCAAAGTATTTGTTCTATTGCCATACAATACCAAAAAACAATTCTTTTTATTTTTCTACTTTCAAGTTTTTTATGATTCCAAAATATGCTCTTCATGACCAAATATTTTGGAAACAAGTCGTCTACTCCAACACATTTTGCAAATGTTTTACAACCACTCTACCATATCAACTTATAAAATACAATCCAAAAACAATGAATGCACCAATTTAATCAAATCCAACAATTTGACCAAAAAACTTCTATAACTTGCAAAAGAGATGTATGGTGCAATACTTAACTTAGATTTCAATTTTTTTGTGAATAAAAGCATAATTTTTTTTTTATTATATTATATTATATTATATTACATTGTATTTATCTAATTTAGAACTCTATTTTTAAATCAAGGAAAATATTAGACCAAGATATTCAACAAAGCTAATTTAATACAATAGTGAATTTATTTCACCAACCTTCTTTCAAGAAAAGATGTTTTTATTTACTTATTTATTTGTTTTTTTTCTTCCAATACATTACAAAACTATTCTAATTATTTGAACCAACCCAACAATTTGGTGGTTCATTTGTCACAATAAACAACTTGTGAAATTTCAAATTGCAATATAATCATATTTGGATCATCTTATAATAATTACATGACTATATTTTTTATAATTTGAAATTTGGTTTTTAGCACATATTTTTAAAATCTATCACACTTTTGGTAAAATCTTAAAGCATCACTTTTTTTATTGGGACTTGCAAAATTCATCAAATAAGGCCATTTTTTTTTTCTATCCATATTAGATGAATGTTTTTGTACAACAACAATTGCACTAGTTTTTGGTGCCACTACAAGGCAACACCATGTGTACAAACTATCTACAAGCAACTTCAACTAACCTTATTCAACATCCATGTTGTTTAGGTTTGAAGGCATGGCAAGCACTTTGTGCTTGTAACAATGCCTTTTGGCAACTTCTAAAACTTCTTGTTCTTGTAGTTATAAGACTCATGTATATTGCCTCTTATACTTATAAAAATAAATAATCATCTATTCAAATGAAACTACTTAAATAGCTTAATTTGTGGTACCACCTCATTTTTTGTCAATAGCAATATACAAAACCATTACTATTTCTATCTATTACAAGAGAGTGTATTTGGTTGTCCATGCATAAGAAGAAACTTATATTTTGGTTATAAAATTATTTCAAACAATTATTTTTTTATTTTTTTTATTTCAATAGATATTTTTTAAAAAATTAATATTGCCTATTATGAGTTTGAAGGAGCAATAGTATTCTTATTAAATAGAAAGAAAGTACATTCTATATCATCTTATCCTTCCACAACTTCTTGGTTGATTTTCTGTGGTACATTATCAACCAAAGAAAGATTTTTATTTTTAACCAATTGCAAGCTTAAAAAATTGCTATTGCATATCTTCTCTATTAAGTATAAAAATATCCTATGCAAGAATTAACATTATGTATTTGTATTATTATTGAACTTTTTAAGATTGTTTACTCACATTCTAAGTTTTTATTTTTTATTTTTATTTTTTTTAAACAGTAAGTTATGTTTTGAAATATTAATTTAAAATTTCACTTGCCTATTTGATATTACAAGCCTTATATAATATTAGCAACTAAGAATGCTATAAATAAAAGGAATTGTTTAATTTATTCTGTATAAATATCTCTTTAATTTATCTAATTAAAGTACCAATATTTGTAAATAATTTCTGAATGAAGTTTGATTTTGGACCCATATATGAATGCACAAGTATTAATGATGTTTCAAGTCTTGTCTCAACAATGCCTGTTTTAAATTGTTTATGTTACAACTGTTGCTCATAAGTATTGTGGTGAATTTGAGGTGAAATTCAACCTTGAAAAATAAAAAACCATGTATAAAATAATATTGCTTGAAATCACACAAACATCACAGGCCACTACAGTCAAAATATTCTTGCTGTACGAACAAAAAAAAAAAACAAAATAAAAATAAAATAAAATAAACATGTTGCAATATCATATACAAGACCACACGTTGTAAAAGGCTTAAAATTAAAATTAAAATTAAATGTAAAATAAATATAAATATAAAATAAAATAAAATAAAATACAACTGAATGAAAAAATGACATTTATCAACCCATTTCAAAACTTCAAATCCATGATCACATGTCATGCAGAACTAAAATATAATCATTCATCAACATTCAAAAACCCTTTCCTTCGTACTTTTAATTTAGTTTAATTACATATCACATGGATAAAAATGCTTTGATTTTCTCTCGACTTTTCTGTTTTACAATTGTTCAGTTTCATTCTATTTTCGTTACGAATACCAAGGACACCATAAACTGTAAATTCCAAAAAGTAAAAAAAGAAAATAAAAAAGTCATGCCAATCACCAACACAACCCACAACACAACCAAAACAAGAGGAAATTCATAAACGTTTGATAGAGCCATTAAAAAAATCTACATTTAAATACAAAAGTATATCGTGATAACCCGGATTTGTACATAAAAGATTCTGAATGAAGACTCTGAGGCATCTAAGAATCTGTATCTTTGATGATTTCGCAAGCATTCTCGTCGTTCTGGGTGGTTTTGCAAAAGGGGAAGCGGATTCATGCGAGCCACGCTCGCACTGGGGTTCCGAAATCTGTACATGGGTTTAGGGTTTAGCGGTGTTTTTCACGGCGTGCGGCCTCCGGCGTTGTGGCATCATCCTGGGCCGAAAATTTGCTCTCAAGGGTATGCATATATTCACAAAACGAGTGTTGAACGAGACACAATTCCGAGTCCCGTTTATTGCGACGCGAGTCTGAGCCCGTCGGCGTGCCAGTTTATCTCGAAGTCTCGGCCCACGGTGACGTTCAATCCCGAAATTTCCAGACAAGATGGCTTCTTGTCGTAATTCAGGTGCTTCGGTGAGGAGATTCGGTTGTTGTTGACGGTTACGAAGTTGGGTGAGTGAGAAACTCCCAGTAGCTTGATGTTTTGTAACACCAGTCCTTGCGCTAGGGCGTAGTCGCCAGAGATCACACGTCCCACGAGAGATCCTGCGTAGGAAGACCTCTCGGCGAAGTACTGCACGAATGTCGACGATCCATCTCGCACCTCCATCTCCTGGTCCACGCCGTTGTCCACAAACAGCTTGCCAGAGGCTGTGGCATAAGAAGACTCGCCAAATGCGACTATCAGAGTGAAGGGTGTACTCTTCACCTCCGCGGAAGTTAGACGGGATTCCTGCATCGGCAGAATTTGCCCCTCGTGTACGTGTACATTGATGGTGTCCGCAGGAGCGGCGAGAGTGTGCTTCTCACCAGTGCTCGTGATTTTGGTGAAGTCGAATAAATTGTACCAAGTTCCCTTGGGGAAATAAGCGTCCACTGTGGTGTGTCCTGGTGCGACAACAGGGGAAACCATCACGCTGCTTCCAAGCAGGAATTGGTGGTCGATAGCTAGTGTGTTGTGGTCTTCGGGGAAGGAGAAGAACAGAGCACGAGCGATTGGCGCACCGCTCCTGGCTGCCTCAAACATGAGGGTATACAAATGAGGTAACAGACGGTAGCGAAGGCCAAGAGCTTTCCTTGACGATTCAGCGACCGACTCCCAAATGTAAGGCTCCTGGGGAATGGTTCCGATGGCGTTGTGGTTTCGGGAGAAAGGATAGAAGGCTCCCATTTGCATCCACCTGCTGCAGAGCTCCTCTGTGGTGTTGCCCGCAAACCCACAAATATCAGCGCCAACCATAGGCACGCCGAACATGCCGGAGTTGATGATGCTCGCCACGGAGTATTTCAGATCTTCCCAGGTGGCCTTGTTATCGCCAGTCCAGTGTGCGGTGTGCGCACCCGAGCCTACAAACGTCGACCTGGAGAGGACGAATGGTCGCTTCTGCGTCACAGTTGTCAAAGCCTTCTGCGTAACAATAGACTCGGACAAGCCGTAAAGGTTGTGGGCGTCGTACTCCAGGACACCATTCCAATGCTTCACAGTCATCGCAATCGTCTTATCGCCTATGCTGCTGTATTTCCCGACATGATCGATCTTGTAAGGGGGATCATCGAAGCGGGAAGCTCCCTCTACGCACTGCAACACACACTCGTTGTTGCTGCTGTCGCTCTTGTTGGCGAACACTGTCAAGCTCTCTGGAGTGAAGGAGCATTGATTCCCACTGCAGAAGTTGGACGCTTCGTTCATGTCAATCCACAGACCGTCGAAGGGCACCTTGTTGAAGAAGTCTCGCACCTCTGTGGTCCACCATGAATCCGCCTTAGGGTGAAGAAAGTCGGGAAAGTAAACAGGGCCTGGCCAAACCTGCGCCAAGTAGTTGTTCCCGAACTCATTTTTGAGAAAGATGTTCTCTTTCAAGCCCCGCTCCAGCGTGATGTAATCTTTGTAAGCCACACTTATACCTACACAGTGGACAGGATGCGAGTGGCCATCAACTCATTGCTCGCCATGTGCACAACCAACAAACGGAAACGATTACCTAGGCCATGACCATGTTTCAGAATTACAAAAGGACGGATTAGTTACAAGGTCGTACCAGGGTCAAGGATGAGGACGTATTGTTGTCCGTTGGCGTGAAGCTCTTTCACAAAGTTCCGGACCTTTTTCTCATCGTAGCGGATGGGATCCAGAGTGAAATCCTTGCAGGCCTCCATGTAGTCGATGTCATTCCAGATAGTGTCGAGCGGGATGTTTGCCTTCTTGTAACTCTCTACCACATCCTTGAGGTCATCGATATTGTCATATCCCCACCGGCACTGATGGAATCCGAGAGACCAATACGGCATGGGCGCTGGCCGGCCTACGAGCTTCGTGTACTGATCGATCACCGCAAGCGGCGTTGGTCCGGCGAAGAAGTAAAAATCCAACACGCCTCCAATCACGCGGTATGTCAAGAGATCCTGCCCGACGTAGATGTCCATGCCATTGCTGTTCAGGAGCAGCACGCCGTGCGTGGCACCGCCTTCTCTAACGTCCATGTAGAAAGGGTAGGCTCCGTAGAGGTCGACGTCCACTGTGTATGCAGCCATGTCCGTTGCCCAGAGAGTATAGGTTCTACCGCGAGTGAGCCGCAGTCCATCGGGGCGGGTGCTCTCGCCGATTCCAAAGAGGGAGTTATTTCTTGGCAGCTGCGTGGAGATTTCAAGGTACTGTTCCTTGAAAACCATGGAGTTGAACGCCGCCTCTTCGCTCGGATGGGCGGGAGGAGTGGAATTGAATAGCGTTTCTCCTGTTGCAATCCTTGTTACAGCGAATCCAAATGGCTCGGCTGTGTACGAAAGCTGCAGCTGGCGCTGCGGAGAGGATTGTGCTTGCAATGACGTCTCAAGCGCCGAAGGGCGTGGAAGAAGATCTCGAGGCACTTCCCACCTCGAGCTTGAGGAGTCCGTGATATGGACGTGCATTTGTTCGTCGGCATTGTACCTGCAAAATCCGCCGAGGCCACTATGTTACACCCGGGAAAACCAAAAGATATCGAAGAAAAATGACAATTCCCAGAGGCTACGAAGCATTTAATCAAACGGACTGAGAGACAGTGTCATTCCATAGAAGATTGCTTCGTACCTGGCAATGATGCGGAGGGCCCCGACATCAGGACCGTAGGTGTCCGTGTGTTGAATGACCTCCAAGTCAGCCACAAACCCCGACCCGTCTTCGAATTCATATAATGACTTCATTCGGTGACCCCTTCCCAGGGATTTGAGGATTGCGAAAGGGGCAGCAGCTGCCACAGTCGCGAGCCACAGCAAAACGAAACTAACTAATAATCTCTTCATTTCCATTTCGAAATATCCGACGGCGGAACGCTTCCCAGACGGGAGTTGGACTCACAGATATACAAGGATTTAGCAAAAAGCAAGCATAGTATATTACAGATTGACGGACTGAATGAGGATGCCTATATAACAAACCGGTGCAAAATTTCCAAAACAAGTCATGAACGTTCCATGATTCTGACGCTGCTGCGTCCACAGGGACAATAAACTCAATGTTGCATCGTCACTGAGTGCCAGCAGATGACCGTCTCAATAAGAGCCCATGGATTATTATGAGCTCTGATTATCACAGACCCCTCAACTGACCTATCAAGAAATTTAAAGTCTCAGTTGCAGCTCACTGAAGCGGCACGAAGCCAAGACAGCCACGCGAAAGCTCTTTCTGTTTCTGAATGGACTCCCACGACCAACCGTCAAAGAGATGAAAGAAGAGGATAAACTTGGGTCAGCTTGAAACTACGAGGAGCAGCAACGTGCACGACTCAGAGGAGACTTTCACAATTCATTTGCGGCAAGCCCACCAGTTTCTTATATTGACCGCCGTCGAATGCGCAACCAACCTCATTAACCGGTGGCGCTGTTGCATGGGTTCAACGAGGTAAAACGGAACGTGGGTCCAGAGGACGGTTGATCCCGATCTTGGGTCAGCTTGAAAGTGCGAGAAACAACGATCGCTGGCGTCGTGTCGTGAGGTTGGTGGACTCGATGTCCGAGAGAGATTTCGTCGCGCCAGCTCAAGCGGAATCAGCGGCTTCTTGTTGCAAGGAAGACAATCGACTCGCTCCCCAAATCGCAGGAGAAGATGACTGTAGCTCTGAATTCAGATTTCAAGTCACTCGCGCTGGACAATTGCATCCAATATCCTGCGAATCGCGGACCACTTCAGCTTCGCCGCTGCGCCGTCTCCCTCCCAGGTCTCCTCTGTCGTCACGCAACGCACACCCCTCTCGGGAACAGCACCGGGAACGTGTTTAGGGAACATGGGAACATAGGAACATAGGAACACGGAGACTCGGGGACACGTACACATGATGGGAACATTGATTTTTACGTACACTTTTTAAATTGCCATTTATTTTCAGTGCCTGTTAGTTTACTTCCTCCCTTTTATCATTTAAATGTAGTTGGTGCAGTTGTTATTTGTTCCATTAGTTCAAAATTATATATATGTGTATATATATATATATATATATATGTGTGGTAAAATTCTTAGACGATGTTTTTATGATCAAAGGTTTTTACAACAAGACATTGTTGTAGAATGACTTTTCTTGGGTATATAAATATTAAATATCATGCGTACTGTCTCCTGTTAGTATTATTATCGAAATTTAAAAGACAAAATGACTTCCGAGTACCCAGTGCTTGTAATCTGTTTAACATATCTGAGTAATTGAACATCTACAATAACAATAATATCACAATATCAGTTAACTTTTACTAAACAATTATTTCAAAAACTGGAGTTACAGGTTGACATCAACATGGAAAATTGTATTTATTACTTACTTCATTAGTACTCACAAGAATACTTTTAAAGCATATTGGTGTAAAAAATTTGGTTTAAAAGAAATGAACATTTTAATTTATTTTTATTTACTCAGAAATCCAACCATATACAAATAAGTTTAATGCCAATTAAAATTTAATGATAATAAAAACTGAAGATTATATGTTCAGATATAATCCTCCAGTAGCGGAACAAGCACACCTCAACAAAACAATGCACATTGGAAATAACTAAATTTTAATCGAATTGATAGAATTGTCAATTAAAATAATTAAATATTAGAAAACGATATAATAACTTTTAGAGGAAATATTTTGAATCAAAATTTTAGATACAAATTATTTATTATACTTTACAGTAATTATTATCTGCTGAAATCTGAACATTAAATAAAATGTGAACTTAGAAAATAAATGTTCAATCTCCACCAAACTAGAATATGTAATAACTCTCTTCAATGCCAACATATATAAGTTTTATAATTTTAAAAATGAAAGGTTACCGCCTTTAAGACATTTAAAGACTTTGACATATAACTCCTCTAAAAAAATAATACTAATTACATTCAATAATCATGACAAATAAAGGGACAAAACTTTGACAAGCATCAAATAAAAATATTGTAAATAAAATTTACAATGAGTTCTAAGCGCTTATGGATTTATTTCCAACTAGTAAAATAAATTAATAAATAAAATTTTGAAGAAAAATACTATTAATTAAAAAAATTTATTAATAACATGAAGTTGTAATTGATTTTACCTTTTACTGAATACTTCTTTGATTCTATTTTGAAGCAAACTATTGGATCATATAGTATTAAAGCCTCATCTTTTTTTTAATAAAACACCAGAAAATAGTTTCAACAAAATATTGTTTCTGAAGTCCAACTTGACTGTTGTTAATAATAATCTCTAACTTTTTCTTTCTGATCTTGATGTAAAACTTAACAAGCTAAATATGAATTAGTATCCATAGGTGAGAGCATACATGTAGTTTTGAAACTATTGAGAAAATAATAATAAAAATAATAATAATGCCTATTCAAATAAGCTCTAAACATATAACTTTAGTATTCTCTCTCTCTCTCTCTCTCTCTCTCTCTCTATATATATATATATATATATATATGTTATTTTTTTGGAAAATTTCAAGCACAAAAATAAATGATTATGCTTTTATATAATTCGAAAGGTTACAAATTAATATCCAACACATATGTCACTAGTTATTTTTGATAATTATAAGAAAATAAATAGATAAAAAAAAAATTGTAAATACATTAGCTTACAATAACATACTTAGATCATGACACAAATAGGTCTATAAACTACATCTCAAACATGTTATGCAATTCAATCTCAAGAAAATAATACTGATGAGACTTTTTAATTTGAAAACATTTTAGGGACAACATTTTTGTTTTATTTGTATGTTTTTAAAAGCATCAATTTCATGATTATAAAGATATTTTATTTAATAATATTTCCCAAAAAAAATAAAAATAAAAATAAAAATCAGTCAAGATTTTATGAATATCTTTTCTTCAAATCTAGACGATTCAAAGATATTTGTGGATATTCACAAAAGCTGGATTGTATGTGTTTGACCATTAGTTGTTCAGTGATGAGGCTTCATAGCAGAGAATAAAGGCATTGAAGCTACAGTTCAAGCACAATAGAATACAAAGCATTCATGCCCAACACGACAAGAAAATATAGGGTTGTTATCAAACGACCGAAAACCTTTAAGATTCAAGTGCATGAACTTCAAATGATACTAGATATTGTGTACAAGTGACATGAACTGCATCAAATTTTACAACACTAAGCAAGTTTAGCTGCGGACAAAAACATGACCTTTACAAGTATTTCTTTCACTAAGACATCTTCTTATGTAGCTGAATCCAACAGCATTAGAAGCCAATATGTGTCAAGGACAAGAACTTGATGAAAAAGCAATTCAGACAAGTGAGCCTTCACTCAAAGAGAGGTAACAAAATATATATAAACAAGTATATATATTGAAAGAGAAACTGGAATGGCTATTGCCAAAAGACAAGAAAACTAGAGACCCTTGAAACTAGACTAGAAGCAAGAAAGGAGTTGACAAGAGTGAAGAAGCCTTCACTCTTGTCTCTATATATACTCTCTAACTAGGAGCTACATGGCGACGTTCTATAGCACCTCCAATATGTGTTGACTTTGTAGGGCACATGCCTTGACTTACAAGGCAAGTTTTTCTACGTGTGGGCCATATAATTAGCTTGATCTTCAAGCTAACAATATGTGTGGCACATGGCCAACTTGTTGACCACGTTTCTAATCAAAAAGTCAATTAAAGACACCTATGAAGTCAAAGCAGTGTCTAGAATATTTGGAACACCTTTCATATTAAATATTATAGAAGCAAAATCACCAAACATCGGGACTTACTTCTACCTATTTCTATAAACGCATTGTATCTCACCATCTATTATGCCCGTGACAATATGTAGTGAATGAATATTACATCATAAACTGAAATTCAAGGGTTCGAAAAAAATAAAATAAAAATGGAAGCATTGAGAATTGCAGTATAATTGTAGATTTTTACATTTATATTTTTTTTTTTCTATCTTTTTCATAATTGTAAGAACCATGCAATCAAACGACAATCCCACATCAAAACAGTGCCTTTTTCTTTTTCTTTTTCTTACCTCTTTGCCTTTTATCGTGTTGGCACAACCCACAAAGTCGATAAAAGTACATGGGAGCATGACCCAACAGGTGTTGCCAAATGGGTGAAAGGAGGCTAAAAGTCCAAACCCGCAGGGGGGGAAAAAGTAAAAGGTACTCGGCAGCCATACACCGAAGTTGTAAATAACGGACCACAGACTCACCCCGATCGGGAGGAACCATGTGCCAACTCATCACAATTTCTCTTATCCACTGTGCATTCCCCTGTTGCTGTTGATAAGGCCACCTAACTTGATATTGAAGCCTTCGGCAGAGGGGGATTTGCCACCTCATCCCTTTACCACTCCTCACTGGCTCAGTGCTCCGACACGTAGTTACAGACCAGCGTGGGCAGACCATCGGCCGCGTGGAGCGTCCACGTCTCCGAGGGCCTTAGAGGCCTAAAGACCGAGGAAGTTGCTTGGGATACGTCGCCGAGAGACAGAGAGTAAAACAACCGTTGGATGAAGATGGAGATAAAGTAATATTACCACGAAGAATCCACAGCTGGGGGTGAGACACGTGAGCATTTACTTATGGCGTCCACCTCACTAGCTTGTGTGGCTGGGGCTATCATTGTCTCTCCCGCCATCGCCATGGAGCTCCTCTACATTGCCACGTGGACTGTATCCGCTAAGTGACGTCGATTGGTGAGGCTTATACGGTGATGATAAGTCACTGTCCAAATTCTGAATTAGGGTTTTTTAAATCACCACGATTGGAGGGGGGGAGTAAAAGGAAAAGATGAAATAAAGGAAAGAGAAGCAAGAAAGTTGTTTTTTAAAAATTAATTTAATGTAATAAATTATAATCTATAATTTTTTTTAAATATGAGATTTATTCAACCTAATTTTTTAAAACTTTATAAAATTTCTTGTTTATTACCAATGCCACTCAACTCATTTTAAATTAATAAACTTATTAATCATAGTCAAATCAATATTATTACAATTGGTTCTTGTAAACCATATGTCACAAACATACATACTTACTCTAACATTTACCTATATGATAAAGTAGAAGTAGATAAAAGTAGATTTATTTCATGATACTTTTTAGAGAAGCTTCTTAAAAGCTTTCTAGATGCTACTTTGATTTTACATGTGTTTGTAGATGATTGATAGATTAGAAACTTGGTCAACAAGTTAAACATGTATTGATAGTTTATGGAAAAAGCCAACTATATTACACACATATAAAAAACTTGCCTTATAAGTTAAGATTCATGTCTTATAAAGTCAACACGTTTTGGAGGTTGTATAGGACATTGCCTCATAGCTCCTAATTAAGAGTATATATGGAGGCAAGAGTGAAGCCTTCTTCACTCTTGTCAATGCCTTTTTAGTCCTTAGTCTTGTTTCAAGACTTTCTAGTCTTCTTGTCTTTGGCAATAGCTATTCTAGTTTAATGCTATATCATCTTTGAGTGATTTTCTAGTTCTTTTGAATGACACAAGAGTATATTGAGGATTACTTTTTTTGAGATTCATATCCTTGGCAATTTGACAAGAGTGCTAACTT